ATCGCAGACCATAGCAGGGAGATACAAGCATATTACAAAAGAGAATCTGTCAGATGTGAAGATTCTTTGGGCACCAAAGGCTCTATGAAAGCATAGGCCACGACAGGTACTCTTTATGGAGAGATGTGGGGTTTATTAGACCCCGGATCTCTCCTCTGGCCTGCAATGCAGCAGATCAGACACAGATCGGTAACGGCCAGGTAATCAAAGAGCCGAAAACCGAATGTTACAAAATCATCATCACTTCCTGTTTCCAGGGTTAAAATTCCTCCTTCTCTGTATAGTGCTGCCATCGCTTCCAATGGCAGCAGTCCTAAGCTCCGTGATCGGGAGGGGGGTGAAGTGGGAAGGGGGAGTGATCCTCTTGTGTCACCTGCAGAAGTGATCGAGTGGATGTTAAGCCACTCGAATCACTTCTGCTGAAGAGGGAATCACCGGCTGCAAATTTTGATAATGGGATGATGCCTGCAGGTGCCCGGGGATGTCATATGATGTCCTACGGTTGGGAGGTGGTTAACCGTGGGTATTTACTGGAGATGGCGGACGTGTGAAGCCTCAGCTCCACTCCACGCTGGCACATTCCCGCTGACCCTGGCAGATAGCAATCCCACCCACGGTGCTCCATTGCCCTTTCCAGCTCTTGCCATCCCTGAGACCTGGTACATGGCCAAAGGTAGGCCGAAACCACCATCAGAGCTGCCACCGGGAGACACTGCAATCAGCGACCAGGCAGACAATATTGTCCGGCTCTACCAAAACCACAAGGACTGCAGCCGCTCTTTCACTCACAGCCCCAGGAGGATTCACATTCAGTCAGTCATTATAGTAAAACCTCACTACTATTCCATTAAGGAGTAGGTGATGGCTAGAGCTCGGGAAATTGTAGATCTACAGCTAAGAGACTACCCACGCAAATATTTGTGGATATCTCCTCTGCTACAATCCAGAAACACAGTGCTCTAAAGTCTTTGCTTCTACGCCTTCCCATTTCGCCTTTTATATAGCGCAAAAACATTCCTTTTCCACCTTCCACCTTGGTAGGTTTGCAGTCATGCCATTCATTTTGGATGATGGATGGATTGAACAGTGCTCCATGAGATGTTCAAATCTTGGGATATTTTTTTATAACCTAGCCCTGCTTATACTTCTCCACAATTTTATCCCTGACCTGTTTGGTGTGTTCCTTGGCCTTCGTGATGCTGTTTTTCACTAATGTTCTCTAACAAACCTCTGAGGGCTTCACAAAACAGCTGTATTTATACTGAGATTAAATTACACACAGGTGGACTCTATTTACTAATTAGGTGACTTCTGAAGACAATTGGTTCCATTAGATTTTAGTTAGGGATATCAGAGTAAAGGGGTATGAATACAAATGCATGCCACACTTTTCAGATATTTATTTGTAAAACTTTTGAACTATTTATCATTTTCCTTCCACTTTACAATTATGTGCCACTTTGTGTTGATCTTTCACATAATATCCCAATAAAATACATTTTTGTTTTTGGTTGTAACATGACAAAATGTAGAAAATTTCAAGGGGTATGAATACTTTTTCAAGGTACTGTATATACAATATATACACATACAACATACACATATATGTATTTAAGATGAGTATATAAACATTTACTAAAGAAGATCTGCCATATTAATATTTACTTTACAGCTCTGTACCTCAGTGTTATTGTTCTATGTTTTCTAACCCTAGTTATAAGTTCTGACCTGACCCCTTCCCTCCTGCTACAGCCAATCTGACCACAGCTGTGAAGGAGACAGCTGATTCATAACTGCACTTTGTCTTGCCTGTGAGCACTTTTTCAAGACAAGCAACAACAAGAGGAATGCGGGAGGAGGGATGTGTCAGCCTCTGCATTCCTTTTGCCTTTGCTTGTCTTGGGAAAGTGGTCACAGTGAAGACAAGCTACAGCAATTAATCATCTCCTTCTTAACTGATGTTGGATCGGCCATAGCAAGAGGGAAGGGGGACAGGTCAGACCTCATAAGTAGGGTTAGAAAGCATTTAAAAACATGGAACAAAGTACTACATGTATTTTGTCCCATAAAAGACATAAATGTAAAATGAAAATTATGATAGATCTTGTTTAAACCACACATATTAGGTATCCCTGCACATGTTACAAGGTGCAATAATAGTTAGAGAGGCACCATTTTAATTTAACATTAAACATATGAGGTGGTAAAGATTTAAAGGAATCACCTATTTATAGTTTTAGGTTTCTTCTTAACGTTTTCATGAGCCTAAACCTTGACATATTTGTATTTCTTTATATTTGGCAATGTGACTGCAAGCGTGTGGGCCCCCGCTATGCTTATATTGATGGCATAACAACAGTGGGAATACAGAAAATTATTTTTAAATATATGTAGCACACCCGCTAAAGAGCAGTGAATTTGATCCCCACCCCCCCCCCCCCCCCCCCCCCCCCCCCCCCCCCCCCCCCCCCCCCCCCCCCCCCCCCCCCCCCCCCCCCCCCCCCCCCCCCCCCCCACACACAGCATTCTTTCAGTGGCTCAAAAGATCAGTCTAGGAGTTTTGTTTTGTGTTTTTCTTGGGAACAATGAACTTGGATAGGGAGCATGGGATACCCCAGGAACTGTAAAACTGTACAACCTGAGGGCTCTTCAGCTTTTGACTGCAATGTAAAAGCCACTGTATGCATTGCATATACTTCTGGCTGCACTGCACAAACTGCTGGCTGCACTTCAGCAAAAGAAATGTCCCACTGGATCTCTAGGCTGACTGTGACCTGTCACACTGTCACATTTTACAGCACTGGGGTCTTGTATTCACTCAGCCACAGAATCATCAGTTGCCTCCTGCTGATTTCCAGTGAGGGATATGTAGACTCACAGTGCTTCTGGACAGCTTGGGCTCTCTCCCACAACTTCCTTCCCGCTCTCTTCCATGAGCTTTCTCATGACCCAACTGGATCCTTGGACTAGGACTTACAAATAGGCCCCCCCCCAGCTAAGTCTAGCTGGGACCTCAGTGTCTTCAGGCTGGTTTCCTTCCAGACTTCTGCCCGAGGGGCAGATCTGGACCCACACTGCTTCTTGCTACTCAGGCCTCAGAGTACGTATGGACTCTCTCCCCACCTTCTGGGCACACATCTCAAGGGATTGGTTGGCTTTCCATAAATATTCAGCCTGCCCATTCCATCATCCCTCCCACTAGGTTTCTATAATCCCCTAGAAGACAGTAGGAGCAACAGAACAGCAGCCATGTGAAACACTGAGCATCCCTATGTAATCAACTCCTGCTCCTCTGAAAACAGTGGAGCTAAACTACATTTTCTGAGCAGCCTATTCTACACTAGGAGGGCGCTATGTATACATATATATATATATATATTAAAAAAAAGCATATCTTCCTCTCTTCACTCATTTTCTTTAAGCCCTGTCTCTACCAACAACTTGAAGATCAAAGTGACACTAAACTTTGTTTTAAAAAGATAAATTTTATTCATATATGTATTTTTACCTCAAAAAGTACCTTCTATTTCACTCATCCTCCTCCAAATCTCCAACATCCTTTTTTTTTGGCTGTGATCTGACTCCTTTATAGAGGGTGACTACATTTGTTCTTCATGATCCCACTGTATGTAGGAATATAGCCATCCTCTCCTGCTTGCTCCCAAGGTGGACTACGGACTATAGGATTTGTAGTGTGCATAGAGCAATGCACATGACTACAACTAGCGTGCACTACTCATTCCAAATAAATGAAAATGAGGGGGAAAAAGAGAGATTCAGGAGATCACAAAGGACATTAGAAAAAGGCAGAAAAACACAGTAAGAAACGATTTAATGAAAAAGAGATCACATGGCCATAAGGTAGTGGAGGTGTATGGATTATCTTTGGAAAATAAGGATATTGTTTAGTGTCACTTTAAAGTAGAACTCCTCCTCTAAAGGTTTACATGGTGAATGCACACCAGAGAAAGAAAACTGGAAGTTCAGCTTATACTAGTGCATTGGGTTTCTTTAGTAAAGAAATAAGGGGAAATCTTTCCAATGGAGACAAACCTAACCTTACCCTTTTTATCCAAATGGAAAAAAAGTGTATCTTGGCTTCCACTTTGATCTTTGCTACACTAAGAGGTCATACCACTGTTTCTTTTTTCTTCAAAATACGAAAACACTAGAAATGACATGGGAAATTGTATTTTAGAGCTTTTCTAAAAGGGACAGTGTTTTGGGATCATTAACACCAATGCACTATTGCAACAAGCAAACCACGATTCAGTGCATTGCTGCATCATTTATTTTGAAATAACTATGTCTATTACTGCCAGACCATTCACACAACACATAATATAAATGTTTTTCTATGTTCAGCCACTATTATTCTGACTACAATTGCTGTATTAGTGACTTACCTCTTGCTGAGACCTCTATGCCTGGCCTGTATAAGCAGATACACTCACTGCGGACAGCCTTCGTCAGATATATGAACTCACCAAACACCTTTTCTCATCCAAGGAGATCTTTCTTGCATGCAGCAGGTACAGCAGACAACAAGATGTAGCAGATGATTGAAAAGACAGTGTTTGCAGGTAAAAACACATAGTAATGTGTTCCTGGATGAGAGCAGATTACATGTGGCCTACAGAAAAGCAGCCATATTCATCCCAATAAAGACAGAGTGAAAAGGATAAGGAAATACATCACAAGCTAGTGGGAAGAACACAGAATGGAAGACAGAAAAAGATGGGGCAATAACCAAAATATCCACAAGATGGCAGTATCTTAACTAACTATACTGAGGCTAATAAACAATGGCTTAAAGCTGAGTTCCACCTAAAAGTAGGAGCTCTGTTTTTTTCTGCCTCCTCCCCCCTTTGTGCCACATTTGGCACCTTTTGGGTGAGAGGGGGGAGCGGGTACCTGGTTTTGACAGGTACCCGCTCCCACTTCCAGATCAGTTTGCTGCAGCGTGATCAACACAGGGCCAATCAGCACTGTCCAGACAGAGATCAGGGATTCTGCATCCTCCTAGAGCAGAAAGAAAACTCCTCCTACAAGCTTTAACCAGTGCTCTGCTGAATACTGATAGAAGTCACAAGACTGCTCTAACCGCTGATGAGAAAAAGTGTTTAGCAGTTTATATTTACTAAAATAATTGCACTTCCATGCTCTGTGTACTGTGGGAGACCAGATATAGTGACTGCGGGATCCTGGGTTTAGTAACACGTTACGTTTTTTGTTTACATTTACTCTCAATGAAATCCTATTTTTGTCTCCTACTAAGGTCTGATTTCTTTTATTTGATTTCATCCTATGTTACGCTCTACAGTATATAAGGACAACAGAAAATTTCATGAGCAAAAATTATAGAATAACAAGAAAACATGTCTAAACCATGTCAGGGTGAAACCAACAAAAAAGGCTGGCATTTTCCTGCCAATAGAATAGACATAAATCAAAATATTTCAGCAAATGGTATTTGCTAATTATAATTAACTCTGCTCTAATTAAAAGAGAAAGCACTATCACCTACCACCTGCTCACCTGTACAATTTATATGTTGGCATCAGGCCTAGTGGAGAAGTCATAATTATTTGGTATCAAATTTAATTAAGGAAAAAAAAAAAACCTTTCTGTTCCAGAGGAACTAAATGTAAAGTTTATAGCTTGGCAGGCTCTTGTGTACAGAAGAAAACAAAATTCAGTATAAATATGTTGTGTCTAATCCAATTTACTAGGTTTTTTGGCAAAATAGGAATTATTCAAACCCACATTTTAACATCTGTCAGTTTCTGAGAGCCCTGGAAGAGAGATAAAGTCAGGGTGCGTGTAGCCTGTTGATAGAATAGATAACTTCTGCCCTCCATGTAAATCCCTGTTCTCCTCAGACTACAATACTTACTACTGGCTCCTCCTGCTCTCCTCTGTGTTAGGATTGTTGCTTATGGCAAAGCTAATTAACTGTGTGCCCAGTGATTGACCTATGTGATGAGCTGTGTAAAATGGGCACCGATGATAAAAAAGAAAGGCACTGATAGTGTTCCAGCTATGCTAAAGTGTTGATTCGGTATTGAGAGCAGATTATTTCTCATCTAGGCATCACTGTAATTATTCAACATTGCACCTAAATTTTACATTTTGCTCATATATTGCACAGCTCAATGTGGAGTCTGGGGTGTTATTAGTAGTGTTCTCTGTGTAATATTGTGGAAAACGCCCTTACATGTCACATGTTTTATCAAAGTCACATAACAGGTCTCCTGCTCTTCCTAGCAAATTTTGCTCTTTTTCATTAGATTAAATTGGCATTCACTTGCTTCAGATCCCCCATGCAAACAAATAGGAAACAATGTTTGTAAGACACAGCATTAATTTTTCTTTTCCAATAATGAAAACAGATATTTCAAGACAGTGTGGTACAGGGCAAAAAAAAATAAAGGTCATATAGCCACTACATATAAATAACCGACAGGACGGGATCCTTCCCCCTGCTCCTCAGAACGCAGCAGGTCTATGCCAGGGATATGACAACCAGCATTAGTTGCACCTTAGGAAATAGGGTTATTCCCACTAACACTACAGAAAGGTCCTACCCTGAATAATAGGCATAGGGATTCAATATCACTGAACATCCACTGGATACACATTGTATATAATGGAACAGATGAACATAAAGGCAAAGCTATAACTAAACCTCAGGAAATTCCCAGTTCCCAACTATGATCATGTTGGATTGGGAGGACTTTTAGACTTGTACCAATATAGAGATACAAAATCAGTACAAAATTGGGACACAAAAGAAAAGAGGAAACAAAGAGAGAAAAGAAGAGAAAAAGGAAGAAGGAGAGTGATCGCCCACCAACCCCCAGGTGACCCCCGCTCGCTAGGGGGATTGGATTTACCTAATCCAGGGAGTCCAAATCTTTTCAAATCGGAGATGTTTATCCTGGAGGATACTGACCAGTTTTTCATTAATCATAATCCAGGAGATTTTTGTTTACCTAACCACTGTTGACCACAGGTATTTTCCACACTCGAGCCACAGTGATCTTGGCTGCTAAAAAGATATAGAAGGCAAGGATCTGGAGGTATTTGGGCAACTCGCTCGAGAGATCCGATAATAATGCCATCTTGGAATTTTTGGGGATATTCAATCCAGTTACTGAATAGAGTAGATTAAATATTCTGGTCCAAAACCGCTGGACCTTTGGGCATTTCCACCACATGTGCAACATAGAGCCTTCTTGCCCACATCCCCTAAAGTATATTAGCAAGGCATCAGGATAGATCTTGGCTAACCGTGCCAGAACGAGATACCAACGGGATAACACTTTATAGTTTGCCTCCACCAGGGAAGTGTTGAGAATCCCTCTGTGCACCACAGTGGACCACTGAGACCAGACATCCTTCTCTAGGGGTTCCCCTAACTCACATTCCCAAGCCACTTGGTAAGAGAGTTTGGGGTCCTGATCTGCAAATAGGGAGTATATTTCCGAGATACTGCCGCGCATATCTGGGCTGCACAGACAACTATTCTCATATAGGGTTCTGGTAGCAATGTCCCCCTGGGCTGGGCCTAAAGTCTGTAAAAAAATGAGTAATCTGACAAAGGTGGAAGGTCTCTAAAGGAGGCATTAATAATGTCTCCTGGACGTAAGAGGATGACCTGATTCCCTTGTGGTCTATAAAGTTAGCAAAATCTTGGAGGTTTAGTCCAGGGAGAAAGTGGAGATTCCCAAAAAGGGGGGCGACCGGAGTATGTGGGGATTTCAAGGGGTATACAGTATCTTGCACACTGTGTCCCAAAGTCCCAGGGAGTAAGAGAGGGAAAGACTAAGAATTGCCTTGTGTTTCCTAGGAGATAACCATAGAAGGAGGTCAATAGAAAGTGGAGAGCTAGCTTGCACTTCCATCCTAACCCAATCAGTTTTATAAGTTTCAGAAAAGATTTGGTAAAGCTGAACCTACTGGGCTGACCTATAATAACAGAGAAACTGAGGGACTCCCAAACCCCCCTCCATTTAGATACATACAATGTAGAGCGAGCTACCCTACAACCACCAGAGCACCAAAATAATTTTAATCATGAGAAATTGTAGTTTCCTCATATATGCCAGTGGAACTGGGATCGGTAAAGATCAGAAAAGGTAGAGAATTTTGGGGAGAGTTGTAACTTTTACCGCTGCTATTCTGCCCATCCAGGAAAGAATGTGGTATTGCCAGGTCTGTAGGTCCCTCATCATGGAGGAATAAAGATGGGTATAGTTTGCTTGAAACATGGCGGATATATCAGACATGAGTTTCATTCCTAGATAAGGGAGCATGGTTGTGCACCAATGAAAATAAAAAGATGCCCGTATCGAGGTTAAAGTGGGTGTTTAGAGATCTACATTCAGGGCCTCCATTTTAGACTGGTTTACCTGCAGACCTGAGATCTCACCAAAATTGGACATGAGAGAAAATAGATAAGGCAAAGTTGTAATAGGGTCCATTATAAATACTAACAAGTCGCCTACGAATAAGGCGCATTTGTGATCCTCTCCCCCACTAATTACCCCGTGGATATTGGGATTGGACTGTATGGAAATAGCCAGTGTTTCGATGGCCAGTACAAAGAGAAGGGGCAAAAGGGAGCAACCCTGTCTAGTTCCCATTCTGATATGTAATATATCTGACCTGTGTCCATAGGCCTGAATATACATTGAGGGGTTGGAGTATAAGGCACTGAACAGGGTCAGAAATTTGGGACCAAAGTTCCACTTCCATAGTGTATGCAACAGAAAGGGCCAAGTCAGAGAATCAAAGGCCTTATGCAGGTCCAGAGACAGTAACATACCCCGTATGGAGCCATCACCATCCCAATTAGAATTAGCACAATAGAGAGATAACATCTATGGCCCTGCGAATCTGGTCTGCGGCCTGTCATCCTGGGACGAAACCCACCTTGTCCACATGAATATATCTGGCGAAACATTTGTTGAGCCTATTAGCATAGATTTTCGTCACAAATTTTAAGTCTGTGTTAATAAGCGATATTGGGCAATGGTTAGCCACAACATTGTGGTCCTTTCTTCGGTTTTGGCAATAAGCATATGTGGGCCCTATTTAGATCTTCATCCAGGTGGGATCCATCCTGTAAGGCGATGAAGAGGGTAAGTGAGGTGTTAACAGGTGGGCAAACTTCTTGTAATAAGAATCCAAAAAGCCATCCAGGCCCAGAGTTTTAGATGCTTTTGCCTGTTTTATTGTCTCCAATACCTCTGCCATAGTTAGATCAGTATCCATTATTCCTCGATGGGAGGCCGAGATAGACAGGAGGAATAAATCTTTGAGAAAGTCATCTATCATTCCAGGCTTCAGGGGCCTTGGCTCCTCATATAGAGAAATATAGTAGGCATGAAAAAGTTGTACAATTTTTTGTGGATTTTGAGTTGCCGCTCCGTCAGGTAGTCTGATTTTGGGAATTGTAGTTCGGCAGGGTCGAGGTGTAAGCTTGTGGGCCAACAACGTGCCCGGTTTGTCTGAGTGGGTATAAAATTTATGTAAAAGATCCCCAACGGCTCTCCAGCCTGTCCTGGGAGTGGTCTGATCAAGCCAAATCCCCCACAAAACACATATACCAAGGGGAGGTGCATCCAAAAAGAAGTCACAACAAAAAACCCCTCACAATAAAGAATGAAGCACCTCAGTGGTTAATGGAGGGATCCGGGTGGCATAGGCCAGTCCTCCACACCTCTCTCTTTCCTCCTTCACTGTGCTGATGGAAACTCCCTAGAGACCCTGCTGTGATATGTGCTGATAGCAAATCTCAATGAGCCAGCGATTGTGTCAACTCCACCAGGTTTTTTTTTAGAGGAAGGCAATAAAGCAACAAGGTGCTTATAGAAGTTCACATGTAACTCCATGTATAGTATGCTCAAATCCTCCTTTGTTCACATCACTGTAATCAGAGCTTCAAAAAGGACATATAGTCGGCACTAGACAGGTCCAGCTTACACCTTGGTAGCTGATTGACTCTGTAGTCCATAGGCCGTAGAATAAGTCCATCATTCAATGCAACAGGTAAATGGAACAGTCTCACATTGTGGATCTCAGGACATCCGTGCTAGTAGAGTAGAACAAATTGACAAGCAGTCCCAGGTAGCAGTATCCAGGGATGAGGCAGCACAGCTTGCAGCGTAGTATGCAGTGTTCACACAGTGGGTCAGCAGAGCT